TAAGAGCTCAGAAGTCGACATCAGTGAATATCCTGTAACAAATGAGGTTTGTCTGTTGCCCACTCTGGACGCACAAGCACTTTATACGACGTTAACATTTTTTGGTAAAAAAGTTAAAGTAATGATTGATACTGGTTCCAGTATCTCTGTCATTCCTTACAAACTTGCAAAGGAAATGGATTTATACATTTTCCAATGCCCTGATCACATGAAAGGTTTACTGGTGGAAGGCGCGTACGGCTCGCAAGTGGTCGATCCACTTTGCGCGCTTCTTAACATTTCACTTTTCGGTAATGGTTATGAACACGCTTGCTTAGTCAGTCCCGCCCTTAATCGAGACCACATTGTTCTCGGTATGGACTTTTTGACTACTAAATCGCTAATTTTTGATTTTAACACTATGTCGTTGCGTCCTTCACGCAGAGATCCTACGGTAAGAACGAACATGTTTTATCGTACTACGCATAAAATGTCTGACATCATTCGTGCACATAAGTTTGATCCTTTCCTTCATCCACGTGCAAGAATCGGTCCTTCTTTGCCAGCGCTGATGCGCACTGAACGTATTGGAATTTGTGAAGAAGCGGAATTGGTGCCGTACAAAATGGTACACTGTGCATTGGCACAAGACGCGCCTGAAGTTTTCGCTATGCAACTTCGCTCTGCAGTCAAACAGTGGCCAGCCAAGCAGATGAAGAACGTTATGCCAGCAGAAGTATGTACTCATACGGTAAGTCATTCAGTAAGGGAACCCGGTTCTGAGTCAAGTTTGCGGGGGTATTCCCAATCGGCGACGATGATGCACATGGAGGTACAAACGGAAAGTGTACGTGAGAGTGTCGGTAGTAGTCAAGTTTGCGGGGGTGTAAATAACGCATTTGCACCGCAAAATGTGATGTCGGTCAATTCCAGTACGTTAGATCAGGTATTAGTTGAAATTCGTGAAAAGTTGAAAAGACTGGAAAGTATAGAAGAACAGTTTTTAAATGATATACGGTATGTTGCAAGTTTACGGCAGCAAGATGAATGCCTGGGTGAAAATGATGTGTCAAGTTCTGAAGAGGAAGAAGAACCGGTAAGCAATGTTTCGGATACGGAAGAACAGCAAGTTTGCGGGGGTGAGCCAGTCCACTACGATATTGTGGAAGGTACAGTAAGTGCTCAGGTACAGTGCATCGAGGGTGTCAGTGAAGATAGCAGTAACGATGAGAGCGACAGTGACTCTGGTGACAATGGAGCCAAGACTAACATTTGTATCGGTGCAGAAGAGTACCAGACGATTTTAGATGAAATTGCTCGTAATAGAGAAACTCGTTTGTTAGAAGCAGCCAGAAATTTTGATAAGCCTAGTTGGACGAGACCGACTTCGAATGTCGAAGATGACCCAACTTTCAGTCCGTCGTATGATGAAATGGAAAGTCCTGAGTTCTGGGGAGTTCAGCAGTCTCAGTGTTCCGATACGCAGAAATGGCTAAGATTTTGCAAGAATCCGCAATATGCGAGTACTTCTACAAAGTTTGTGCGTGCTGAAGTCAATTGCTTGACCACCTCCAGTTCTGATGTGTTGTACCATAAACCGCCCGATGGAAATGAGAAGCGAATATTCGTTCCATACCAGTGGCGTCCAGTACTGTTGAAATTAGCGCATGACCGCCTTGTGCATCACAGAAACGATTTGTGTATTTCAATGATCGAATACCTTAATGATGAGCAAAAGTTCTATTGGCCGGACATGGAAAATGACATTAAGGGCGCTGAAGATGATTGTGTAATGTGTCGAATGCGTCATTGGCACAGGAATCAGGAGACATGTTCCGAAGTTGAAGAAGGTTAACTTGCGGTATGTTCAAAGTTATGAAAAGTTGAGTTTTCGTTTTAATTTCGTTGTTTAGTGTTTCAGGTTTATGCACCGTGTAAATCCAAAATCGTAGTGTAGTGGCTCATTCCAGTCATTTTAACAGTAATTTGATAATACGAGTATCTTTTCGTAATGTAATGTTTGGTGAAAAAATCTGTAGTTTAAGTAATTCGTAATTAAATAGGGAAAACTGAATGAGTCAGTGTAAGTTACTTGTGAAAAGTGTAGAAGTATCGATTTTGATAAAGTGTGTTTTTAATTTGGGCGTATGCATTGCGCATCGTATGTTTTTCTTTTCAACTTGGGACGTTCTCGCTTTCCGCCATCCATTCCCGTGGACTCCGGATTGCCAGTTAACGCTCAAGGATCTCACACAGTGACTTATGGATCAGCGTTTCACTTTTTCTACGGCACCGGAGGACACGCGGAAGTTGCACTCATAGTGCTGGATGGAGCGTCGCACTTTGATTGTGGATGGAGCTGATACTTTTTCCTATGTCCCTATGTTCCTTCCTCTTCGTTCCACGTCGTTCCACGATGTTCCACTTTTGTTCCACTACGATGCAGTGAAATCTCGTTTGCGGGGGTGACGTGTACTGGCGTGCCTTAGTACACATCGGTACTACTTCTACTACTTCTACCCTTGACGATACGGCTTAGGCTTTACTACAGCTTTTTCTTGAGTCATGACCCCGAGTCTCAGTTTCGACTTCTGAGAAACCTCCAGCAGAGAACTTTGACCGCGACTTGCCATTTCGACGTGACCGCGAGTCACTGACGTAGCTAAACCTTTTGTTCTTCTGTACGAGCTGACCTCTTGTTCTTATTGGTCCACGTGTCATCAGATGTCTTTTATTGGCTAGTTTCTAAATCCCTATTGTTCTCAGATCCGTACCTGCGCGTACGAAGAGCCAGCACCTGCGAGTGCCCAGGGCTATATAAGGCGCTCGTCGCCCACAGAAATGTCAAGAGTTGTAATCCCAACAAAAGTAGAGTCTTGTTACTCGATCTGATTAACTTCAGGCTTTTGCTCTGGTCTTCTCTTTCCAAGTGAGGCTGTTCAAACTGACCTCTGAGTGACCTTTCACTTATCGTCAGGGGTCATTCCTCTATCTCGTCGACGTGCATTATCATCTTCGGATAGTCTCGTGACGTAATAGGTCACCCACTTGATCCCACTTGTTTGCCTTGACCTTTCGGTCCCTTCGATCTTCATGCCCTGTAGCGCCAGGTTGATGGACATTGCTTTTACCGCTTCTGCTAACATCTAGCGTGAGGTCAGGTAAGTATTACTCGTATCATTGTGTTACTGGTGTTTTGCAGGATTCCTGAGTTCCAGCAGTTCCTGACTTGTTCCAGATCTTCTTCTTCTTCTACCATCTTCTACTTTCCTACCAGTTTGAGATAAGAGTAGCTCTATTCCGATTGTGTCGTGGTCGGACAAGTGGAGATTGTACCCCAATTCTACTGGTAGGACTTTCTTTCACGACACTACCAACTGAAAAAATGAAGATGATTCCAAAAATATAGTGCGATGGCAGAATTAATTTTCTACTCGTAAGAAATCTACAGAAAACGCAACTATCGAAATAAAATAATTATTTACCGGAAATTTTTGGGCGGATAGCACTTTCGAATAAAAAATTCCTAACTGCTTTAGTAGCTCTTCTTGATTTGTATTCTACGGTCGCTTAATAATAAAAATTAGGCACACGAAGCACCACGGTACCGGCACTAGAATACAAGTATAAAATACAGAAACGTAGCTCCAGCAGCATGTACATAGGTGCAGATACTGCACCGTGGCCGTTCACTTAATTGCGCCCAAAAGGATAGGCATTTCCGAACTAACGATTCCAACGAAATTCGTCGCAAAAAAATAGCAAAGCTTGGCCTTTCAATGATAAAATACAGTATTATTAGCCTAATCTTGTTACCGGGTGTTTACATAAGTTAGTTGAATGTTGGAACTGCATAAATCGTACGGATCGAATGCATGTTGCGCGAGTGCGTTTGAGATGACAACATGGGCTTTCAGTTTCTACTGTAAACATTGTGCTGCTGTTAACGAAGACTGATGCGGCGCTGTCATGGCTGATTGCTAAATAAAATTTTAGTGTTAGCAGCTTTCGTTAGATCACACTTACCTAAGTTTGACGTGTTACATGGAGAACTGCAGTTCACAGTCATAACTGGGCATGCAGAAAATTCTGATTTTTTCACCCAAGCCGGCTCTTCGGTTATACTTAAGTGTGCAGCTACTTAGGAAAACAGAAGCAGCAGGAGACCAGTTATTTAAAATATAAAGTAACGGTGACTGGCTGTTAAGAAAAACCTATGAACATGCTTGCATGGCTGTCCTGGGTTTTGCTGTCTGTTCTCGCATTCTTGCTCGTCTTCCCAGCGAAAGCAGAAGTCGCAGAAGGTTCGTGCGCTTATGGTGCATACTCGTATGGCGTTTCCACCTTGGCTCCGGCAATTTGAAACCCAACCGCTCGTCGTGCTGCCCGTGGTGGGGACCGTTGGATCGGCTATTCAAAAAACCACGATTACATTCGCCAAAACCATTACGTTAATACAAGATATCGCCACATTGATTTTTTCTGATGACATTACCGTGACCGGAGTTTCGTCCCGTTCAGTGTTCGTATGGTCAAAACGCCGGCAGTATTTCTTGTGGAAGAAAGACCTAACTCGGCGGCTAGTGGAATTGATGCGGCTTAAAGTCCCCTATTCTGATAAATTTAACTTGTTTTTGGAATTCACTCTTCGATGCCAAGAAGGGTAGGCACTCCATTGATATTGACGTGCAAGAATGCATAGTGCACACGTATGCACACTGTGCAGTTCCTTTGTCAGCGCTACAATCCTGTCTTGTGATTGTATGGTTAAATTTCATCCGTGAAAAATCACACAAGCTTGTAAGCGAAGCCGTGGGAAGCCGGCACGCCATACCTCTATACAAAAGCTTTAGGCGAAAAAAACATCTAAATGTGATCTGATTCGTAACTTTAGGTATTTGCATACAGTGAACCGAAGAAGTAGACACACCCAGATGGGTATCTTGTCCGTCAACAGACAGTCAACTCTGCTGAAATGTTTCTGCACTTTCTCCTGTTTTCTCGAGTTGTCAGACAAAGTTCTTAAACCAAACCACGCATTAATGTAGCCGCCCACAGCTTTTATTTAAGAATAAATTTGTTTGTCAGCTTTGGGACGATATGCTCACTGCTATGGGTTTCTGGTATAGTACAGTCTGCGTGAGGTGTTCAAATGAAATTTGGAATTTGACGATATTCAAGTGCAGTATATTGATAATGTTTTAGCTTGTACAGCATTACATTGTAAAAGCAACGGCCATCAGTCGACTTGTAGCAGTTTTCAATCGTCCCGCATCACCAGCTTTTTATGGCTTTGTCTTAGTGTTAATTATTTTTACTTACTTCATGCTTGTGCTGGTTTTCGTAAAGTAACGTGTTCCACGTTATCTTGAGTGTGCAAAGTCTATTCAGGTAGGGCGCCTTCTGTTCATGTAAATGCTCGATTATCTAAAATTTAACAAATTATAATTTATTGTCGCCCCACGATGGAAGGTTATTGATGGACTATATAGGATAAATGTACCAAACAGTCGCGTGAAAAGCATTTTTTCCTATTTAAACGTATGGGTAGTGTAGTTTAGGTTATTTTCGAAACATCAGTACCACCGGTTTATTAACAATCCTGTTTTAGTCTGGGCACAATTGCCGGGTCAAAATTCAGAACAGCTTCAGAATTTTTGCAGGAAAGGCAGAACAGTATCTATGTATGCAACACTATCCTAGCTTTGTATGCTTATAAAATGCATTCATCTGCCATGGTCAACTGGTATTGCGGCCACAATACTATTCTTTTTTGTAGTCCCTTAATCCCGAAGTTCCTGAGCGGCGCCTGCTTTAATCAGTAATGCTGAGTGACGGAAAAAAAAATTCGAGCGAAAACTGGATTTCCTCGTAACAACGGTTGCGCATTTATAATATCAGTATGCACTGTGCAGAGAATGGTGGATATTACCTGGCACAGCAGGCTTTCCTAGACAACAAAAACACATGTAGGCTGATTCCCAGGATGTTTCTGAATGACGTTCCACTGCAGATAAGATGTTCATTCACCGTGCCGGATCCGCCACCAAGAGTAATTCATTGCAAAACGGTACAACTTCCCTTTGCGGAACCCCAATCAAATGTGCAAACCGGAAAGGAAGAGACTGCGCAGGAGATGTACGATCTTACCCCAACGGAGAAACAAGAAATCCTGAATTTATTCGACAACGGCCGTCCTTGCTTCGAAATTATGCGGAAGGCCAATCTGTCGCGCCACTGCATTAAGCGGGTACTGGCCGCAGCTGGAAGAACCGTAACCTTTCGAAAACAAGATCGAAAGAGGTATGAAACGTTGCGACCGATGGTTCTGGAGCTCTTCAAGCGGGGCTGGTCTTATCTAGCGATAACGCGTCAAGCTGAAACTTCGATGTTATGGGTAAAACAGATAATACGGGAAGCCAATTTAGCTCCAAGAGCACCATCCGAGTCGTTACGATTTAGAAAGAATCCCGTTGTGCGCATTTTGCGTCACCCAGAAAGAAGAGATTCATGGATAGGATACGACCACGCTCCAGCATCCGCAGGTTTGCCTGTCTCCAGCTCCACAAGCGGATTCGATGCTTGCTGCAGTATCTTGCTGGATGACCGACACCGCAGATATACATGCGCCACAACAGAGAATGCAGAATTCCCTCATCAAGAAAATGGCATCGCCAAAAAGGATAGTGGTATGTACCTGTACGATGACAAAATGACATACAGCACTAGGTCAATTAATTAATGAAATTACACAAAATAAATTAAATATATTACAATGCACCTAAACGCGTGCAAATACCATGAACGAAAACACTGTAATATAATTTAATGAAAAACTTGCACGTAACAAACTGCATTTTCCATTTTTATTAAAGGGCTGCCGAACGCATTTAACCTGATTATAAAATTATTTTGATGATAGTCTTGGAGTCGAGTATTAATCAGTGTATATTAAGTTTAAGGTCACAGAACTATGTATTGTACAGTACTTACAGAGGTAACGCTATACCGTGCGCTGGTTTGTCAAACAGGCAAAACACCTACGGTAAAGTCCGAACTGCAGTACGTATGTACTTCTTAATTATTGCGAGTAACTTAAATCCGATAGTGAAAAATTTCTTTAATAGGAAGGAAAAGTGCAACCATTACGGTATATCAGCTTAATACTACTTTTTTCCCAAAAATCTAAGAATTTCTGATAAATGACCGTTAGGTTATTACATATATTGGCTAAAAGAAGCACCGTGTACGAGAAAACTATGTTTTATGTCCTAATTTTAGTAACGTTTACGGGTGCCATAAATTACCGTTTTTTGCCTTGCTCCAGGTAATGCCCCAGGGTCACTACTTTTGTAGCAGGGGTGTTGGAAGATTTCCTATTTCGGGTTATGATACTAAGTCAAGTTTTAATGCCACTTTTTTCATCCGTACCACAAATTTGATTTCAAATTCAGCGACGAGATATCATGCAAAGATGGACATTGCGGAAGACGGCATCGAAACAGATGTTGCCGGAGAAAAATTGTCTTCCTGTCGCAGGAGTGGACGGGACGAAATCACTGAGTATTCCAGTACATCGCCGGACAGATGCATGGAAGTAGCTTCTGAAATACCGTCGCTTTGGTCAGAACATGAGAGCATGAGCGGCCGTACTAGACGATATGAGTGCCAGATGTGCCGTTCCTGGGACGAAGGGGAAGCATTTCTCACACATTTTTCCAGCGCAGAGCATGAGCTGTTGTATGCAAACGGGACTTTTCTATATTGTACTGGATGTAAATTCAAAACCCGAAAACCAGCAAAGATGGGTAGACATATTATTAAGTACCAATCGCAAAACACACAGCTAAAGTGTAACATTCACTCTGTCAAAACTGTTCACTGAGTTATGGTGTTATAATTATTACTGCTGAATTCGGCCTAATTGTTTCCGTAGTAGCTCTCATGAGAAACTTGCATGCCATTATTTTCCGCTTAATTGCTGTAAGACCAGGATTAGCCTGCTGGACTACAGTGCTCTTTGTGAAGAATATCTTAAGCAATGAGAAAGTCTGCTACTGCGTGCTGCGGAAACATTTATGTATCTCTTGTCCTAGTTAAATGGAATGGTTTTTCGGTTTTTTAAGTTTGACAAGAGGAGCAGATGTACAGATGTAGTAGTCGAAATAATGTACTTGTAGGTTACAAAGGGACTTTCGTTTCAAGGGACACATCGTTTTAGTTACGCCTTTTAACACTTCAAGTTTGATTAGCCAAGCTCTTAAGATAAATATTTAATCATTTAGTGTTATACTAACGCAGTACAGCTAGTTGCTTCTATGATGGATCGAAGTCCGTCAAAGACCCATTCTATTCCGTCAAATACCCAAAATAAAATAGCAGCATATCTAACTGAAAGAATCTTGGCTTGCTTCTCTCGGTTGTATACGCACAGAAACCAACCAATTTCTCTCCCGCATATCTGTATTATTTTGGCGGTGACACTCCCCGACATCCGGACAGCGAAAACGCGATATACGGTGCCACAGTTCTCGTGACGATCGAGCTGCGGAAATAGATGGTCAGCCTGTTGCAACAGGCTGACCACGCTGGGCGGGAAATGCAATGAGAAGAAAGGCAGGGGGACAGAATTTAGAGCTCCACCACATCTCTGAATCAAGCCGGACGGAATTTTAAGAAACGGGTCAGTCTGAGTCTCAGAGAAGTCAAAAACAAACACCTTGGAGCTTTCTAAGATGGGCCATCCGGCAGCGGTCAGTGTCACCTAGCGAAAGGTCAACGTACCCAAGGGTTCCCTGTAGAAATTGTTACATGAAACGTGTGCATTTAAAAATGTTTTACAAAATAGGCAAACATTATTACGCACGCGCTCACACCAGGGCGAGGCTTCTTCTAATTAAGGCGTTTTCAGTTGTTTAAAATTATGTATTTATTATTATTATTATTATTACGTATACTATATGTAGGAGTAAATTTCAGCGGAGTAAATTTTAGCTATTGAGTAAGTACGCAAAACCGTAGTATCCTTCCTCTGGCGACTTGCTCAGTGGAGAGTACCAGGTAAAAAACTTTGGCGTTAATGTACATATCACATATCATGTACATATGTACTGTTTCCAATTCTACTGTTTCTGATGAATTTCGGGACTCGGGAGCGTTAAAACTTGTGTTCTTTGGCGTTAAATTTGCCACAAAACTTAATAAAATCTATATTTTCTTGAATTATTAAAAACCCGGAAGATTATACACAGATATAAAAACTTGATTACGTACAAGCCTACAATAAAACAAAAGAATAGCTCTGCACTTTTTCTCGACAGCGTGTTGAGTTGATAATAGTAAAAGGGAGTTGCGTTCGTCCAACTTTCAGCAGGTTTTACCAGAATTGAACACACCTTGACGAAAACACAACTTCTGCAGTATTTACAACATTATGAATTTAAACGGTGGAATATTCTTTGCCGCTATGTCAACTAATGGCCCTGTCCAGTTTAGAATTCCTCCTCAAAATGGAGACCTCCTTGAAAGGTCGCTTTTGCAGTTTCCTCCCTTTTGGAAAAATCATTTTCTTCGAAAAAATACCTCCTCCAAAACCCTTACGGAAGTGTAGAGTGGTCATTGACTGGCGATATATGCGGTAATGGTCTGACACAATAAACACAACGCGTGTACCACCAAAATGCGCTAAAAGCGTGCTCGATCGCTGCTGACTGTCCCTTTCCAACATATCGCATACATTCTACGGTATTTCCAGAGTTAAGCACTATGTATATGTGCACTTCCGGTGGGACTTTTTTCCATAAGCTGAATTATTCTAGGGTTAAGTTAGCCGAACGGGTACAGAGTACAGCTAGATGCATATCAAACCGCGAAACATTTTCATGCGGCTGCGAAGATCGTTTTGCCGGCTGCGAACGTGGGACACGTGTAAATTACCAAAGCGTACACGCCGTACAGTATGTGTAGCGCAGACCGCTATCAACAGTCAACATGCTCAACTTTAAACATAGCGGTATTAGTCGCCGGTAACCACAATTGCTTCAGCTTTCAACGGTCGTATGCAGAATATATATCTGTATGACATAATGTTATGCCGCCAACTCCAGGCCGACACGCTGAATGTAGGCGTCCGTGATAACTTGCTCTGCATAATTTTGATATGTTAAGTGTACTACCACATAACCCCAAGTCTATGAGCACTACTTGACAGTGCATGTGAATTATCTTTTTCCAGGAGAAGAAGAGATAAACAAATATTACTCTATGCCAGAGCGATAGAAATGGATTTATGGACTTCCGAGCGATTACGAGCTAAACGATTGCACGAAAAATATAAGGACTCGGATAGTACGAAAATTTTTTTTATACTTCTAGAATTAATTTAATTATCCTCCGGATTGAGAGCCACACCCAAACACTTGGAATATTGTAGTAAGTGAATGGAACACGATGCTTTCTGTTTCTTTCTGCCTATTATGTACAAAATAATGCAGACTAGAAGGCGCGTATTAGGCAATCGGTAGTACGATTGTTATTTCTGCATTTTTAATTTGTACCGTATCACTGCAACTGCAAGCAACGAACAAATCATCTTTCCCGCGCCCGTCGATTACAGGCAGTGCTGATTTGTTTAGTACAAATACTATACATACTTTCTGTATTTTTGGCAGCTGTCTGTCTAGAAGATTACGAAAGGAGTAATTGGCTGGAAGGTTCAGTTTATCAGAAAAGCGGAAATTAATCTCTTTGTTAACTGGAGTCTGGAGTGCTACTGATAATTCTACAGTAGCTTTTATAAGCCAGAAAATAAAATTTAAACTTATTTAAACTGTACACGGCCGGGAAGAAAATCACGAGGAGCATCTTCTAACTGATTAATAAAAATTCTGTATAAACAGTAACGATCATTAATCATTAAACTCAACGATTACAGGCTTTTGCATTCAATACTACAGTGTACCATACTCCGTATTGATCTTTCTAATTTCTTGGTAGATACTCTGAGTATGTACCAAGAAATTAGAAAAATCAATACATTCACAAGGAAGAGACGACGAATCCACTGTTACGAACTTTATCGAAATATGCGGTTCAATATCGCTCGCCTTTATACATGTTAGTAGCATCGCTAAGGGAAAGCATCACTGAAAAGTGAAAAGTGCATCAGTTAATGCAGTCATATAAAATAATTATATTTATGACGAAATCAAAACGTGTGACTTTTTCCGTACACATAGACTGGAGCACCGTCCGTTCCTTTCTTTTGATTCACTAAAATTTTGCCATCAGGCTAAAATTTTTCCCTTTTCCAGTGCCAGTCAAAAAATAAAATATGTAACTTATAACTTATTCATTTATGTAGCTTTCCTAGGAAAATTAGTACCGTATGTTACATAACTAAGTGGTAACTAGCTGCTCAAAACCACATCCCTGCAACATCTACAAACCGTAAGTGAAAAATTACAATTTTCACGAAAAAAGTTATTTTTGCCGGCAACACAAAGTTCATTGGTATGCTTAGCGCGCTGGTTTGATAATAAAATATTTTTTCAGTCGATGAAAAAATCTGGATTTGTAATTGCGAGAATTCTAAAAAAAAGATTTGGTGGCCTGTGATTTGAAAATATCTTATTTAAATTCCTGAGCTTTCTAAAATGTTCTGCCATGATAATACAGTAACACACAGTATTGCGCACAAGGTTTGAAGTTGACACTTTAATTTCAATAGTTAAAACAGTAAAAAATGTAACTGTCAAAAATGACAATGAAAAGGTGCAGAAGCTATATTTTGCTTTTCATTTATTCTCACTTCATCGAATCAGTTGACTCGTGTGTTTCCCTGGACATATGTATTTCTTAATAGGTCGTGCAATAAAAAATGTAGCACTTTTATTTCTCCAAATGGCAAAGCGGCAAAATAGGGAAACTTGTTCCCGGAATGTCCTCTGTAACACTACCTATACCGGTACTTCGCTACAATGATTTACGAAGAGCGATTATTGTGAGCTGACTGCAGTCAATAAATACTGTGCTGGTCTTCCAAGGCTTTGAGACTGATTGAAATTAATCGGACTGTAACCGTTTATATCTCTCCCTTTGCTCAGCTGTTCATGATTTTCTGTTTATGGCGTTTTTATGAGTCTAAGCTAGCGCTGGTAAATGCATGCGTAAAACGACACGTTTTGATTTGGATGTGCCGCCAAAATATTGGAAGACAACAGGCTCAGTTCCGGCTCTGTATATCTGAGGATTCTCTTCCTCAAATGAATGATTTAATTACTGCCCGATGTTGTTTGAGTTTTTGATGGAGCAGATATCGATTATTGGCTTCTGATTAAAAAAAAGGCGCTTTGCATAAACAATTGAGAATAGTATTTCCCTAGATCTGAAAACGGAACTGATGAACATTTTGTGAATGATGGGTTTTGTAATGGCAAGTAGAAGTAAAATTAATGAAACCTGATGCTCTTCATTGTGTAATCGAACGGATACTGCACAGTCGACTGCCCAGAATCGATCCCTTCTGTCTTCCCAGATATCTGAGAATACAAACGAGTAAGGGGATAATATCAGCGGGCTGGCGTTTATTGAGTATTCACTCCCTGGAAGTCTGAAACTGCTGCGGTAGAAGAATGACGACAAAGCTTAGAGTGCATGGTGCCTATGCACTGTGCCGGATGTAGCCATATGGGCTGCCGCTATGCCATACTCCAACCGGCTGACTGTAGCAAATGCAGGGATTCCTTTGTCAATCTCGCATACTTATGTAACGGATGTGACCGGGTTCGTGTTTATTCGTGGCAATTTTGGATTTCCTCACACCTAAAAACGTTTTTGCATTGTTTTATGACGTCAGTCTGCAGACGCTTGATTTGTTATACGAGTACGACCACATTGGTATGAATATAGTTTGCGTGGCCAATTTCCGGTCGGGGAGATATGGTTGAAATATAATTCTAAAAATTTTGTACGCAAAAACAGGTATACATACCGAGTCTTTCGTTATGAACCGATCTTGCCTTGTTCAAAGTTCAAACTAGAGCCCTGCACGAGCAGCAAAAGTGCTGCTCAACTCGCTCGTTTTAAATTTCTGAAACTTCCTGCTCGCTCAGCTCGCTCGCGCCCCAACCGCCGCTCGCTCGACTCGCTCGTTTTCCAATTTTTCTTTGCTTGCGCTCGCTCAACTCGCTCGTAATTTTATTTTGGCAAATCGGCTCCCTCGTGAGATCGGCAAAAATTTACGTATCAGTTTATTGCACGATTTAATTATACCAAACTTTTCACCAACACAAAAACTCAGTAAGTGTAATCGGATGATTCGGATGTTCAGAGACAATCACTTGTATGTATCTCCATACTGGTGGTCCGTTTCATTACAATTTTTCATTTTTTCGCTAATACATTTCTCTAATTTCCAACTTGATGTAATTTTCTTAATTTGGTCTGAAATAAATACATACAGTAGAATGCTCAAAAATTAAGATGCACCTTTCTTAGGAAGCATTCAACTGATTCACAAACCGTCAAATAATGTTTTTGTTCGCTACGAGTACAAAATATCAAAAGTTAGTCCTGAGTCCCAACCGGTCTAGTAAAGTTAGTAAATCACTTCGCGCGAAGGTGACGGTGGTTTAAGACCGTTTTCAGGTCGGTCAATGTAATTTTGTACCAGAAACTTCTCCAGTTCGCACAATGTTGGCCAGTAGGCTCGCGATCGCTCGCACCCGACCATCCCGTTCGCTCGGCTTGCTCGCAATTTTTTTCTGTTGCTCGGCTCGTTCGCAAATTCGCAAAACGACGCCTGCTCGCTCGAAGTGCTCGTGAGCCGAGCCGCTCGGCTCGGCTCGTGCAGGGCTCTAAGTCAAACCTTGCTGAAAAACACAGAGAAATATAACGATCGTTTTATTACTGTATACAGCGACCCAGAACATCCGTATGTTTTAAAATTTGCAGAATGGATTGCTCAAATTCTCTACGCCACGCTTCCCAGTTCCTTTAATTCTACGAGACCCAGAGAGAGGTAAAGTCAGCCGTCAGATACGCGTACAGTATTAAGAAAACAAAAGGAAAGCCATTTACATTAAGGAGCATGGCTGTTTCTGGTTCGTAATAATTATTAGAAAGATATTGGATGACTTGCAAAATACCGTATTTTCGGTCAAGTATTGTAACTATCCGTTATACCTTCCGTTAATTTGCTCATTATTATGCAGCATTTCTTCCTTGCAGGCTTGAGTGGTGACGTAACTGAGTGCAATTAAGTGAATTTGTTTTTGATCCGCGGCCGCCTCCTACCTTCCTCTCTTTGATATTAACCCTGCAGAATGGAACAGAAAAAGCACTTTTCATTACTTGGACACCCTCTTACGGTGTTAAATTGCGCATGACGCGTGTTCAGCACGCGTTGTGCTGAGAAGGGCGGGATTTACTGCAACCATAGCATCTCCTAAACAGCCACAACGAACTGAAAAGCTTCGAGGGGCGCCATATCTGAATAAGGTCCTGCTGCCTATGTTATATCCATTTTCCGCTTCGTAAATAAATCCGTGCAACCCTGTACACAATCATGCCGCCCGTTCTTGATACTATTCCAAAAAAGGCGGAGCCAGAACGGGACGATCAATTGAACGCCGACAGCCGCTCTGCAGCAGTCCAGCGGCCGTCCGGTAAAGCGCACTCCTCGGCCGGTCACAAGAGATACGAGAGCGTATCAGCGAAGAAAACTGTTGGGCCTCAACCGCCTCATGCATGGAATATGTACAATCTCACCCCGGCAGAACGACAAGAAATATTGGACTTATACGACAACGGTCACACTTGCTCTCACATTTTGCGGAGGACCAATTTATCCATTTACCATGTTAAACAGTTGCTGTGCGCAGCCGGGAGAACAGCATCTTTTAGGAACCGGGATCAAAAGAGGTACGACGCGTTGCGACCTGCTGTTCTCAAGTTACTCGAGCCGACTGGTCCTGTCGAGAGAAACACGGTTTGTTAAGCTTGAAACTACGACTTTTAGGGTGGAAAACACAATCCAGGAGGTCAGTTTAACTTCAAAAACACGACCTGCAATCCTTGATGCCGGTTTACCTTCAAAAACACCACCTGTGAGAATATGCTTGTCACATTGTGCAATCCAGAACAAATATAATGAAAAGCAGAAGACTGCAGCGAAAAGGTCGCGCCGAAAAGGACGGGATCCATGGATTGGACGCCAGCCGGCTCAAGCCGCAGAAGGTGTGCGTCGGTCCGATTCCGGAGATGAATTACCTGATGCTGGCGTTGGTATCAGCATTTTGTCGGATGACGAGCAGTGTGAGTTCACTACAGAGGATATGGAGCGTTTCGCGGAAAAAACCGGAGCTGCTAAACACCGGAGTGGTACGTCCAGAAAGTCAAAAATTTTCTTTATTTATTTATGTACGTCAAAAGTCGAAAATACTTTCCCGAAAATGCTAGTCTGAGGAATCAGTACCTTCCAGTAATCATTGTTAAGTTTTTCGTGTACAGTATTTCTGGTAATGTTTTGTCGAACCGCGACAGCGTTCACTGCGGTTACCGGTAAATGAGCCACCCGCTTTTACGTATAATGCATTTTTTATTTATTGAGGCAGTGTTAGAAGTCGTTTCAATTGTACCTGGTCAACGTTTACACAATATTAGGAATTCAGATAACTTTTTTCAAAGTTTTCAACGAACTTTTTGGCGAGGAGACCCATGAGATCATGCGTTATGCATGCTGATTTCAGCGAAAAGCTGCAGTGTGGATTACACATATCGGATAAAACTTTATTATAAGAAAGAGACATTTATTTAACCCTCCAGCGGGAGGTACCCGAAGGAGTGCGAGTTTCCTTATGAAAATCGGGATTTCCCGATGAAAAAATTCAATTAAGAAAGGGAATTTTTTGTGAGTTTGTGCTGACCATAGGTCAATCGTGGTGACTATGTTGTCGCCTGACGCCAATGCCCATGGACAGTCTACAGCATATAAACGTTTAATTCTGTAATAACTAGTCGAAAAATAATTACACAAAAGCAACAAGTTCATTAAATAGCCCAAAAGAAGTGCTTTAAAACAGAAGTATAGAATTGGTCAACAAATTGACCACTGGTCAACAATAAATTAAAAATGACCCAAAAATCATTTTCATGCATTTTGACCATTACTACTGTACTGATAAAATATAGATTATTACAGTCATATGGTGCTGCACGAAGCGCTCTTTACAAAGTTTAACATAACACCTGCGTCATTTCGGGCACGCCAACCCGCCTTTCTGTTTGCTTGTATTACCTGTGAGAAGAGAAGTAGTAAATATAGCGGTTGATGGTAGTACAAATAGCGGGCTCTCCTATTGGTCGGTTTGGCCTCAGTACCGCCCCATATATTCTAGGGTATACGGATAGCGGATTATGGTCTGTACACTGTACTGTATATACAAATCAGTCTGGTCTGATGGTGTGTACGAATAGCGTACAGATCAGTTTGGTCTGATAGTGTGTACGAATGGCGTACAGATCGGTTTAACCTGTATGCCGCCTATAATATACTGTGTACGAATAGCGTACAGGCCATGTACACCGTCTAAGATTAGCCCCTTTCTTTTGTTTGATTTTCCCCACCCTCTTTTTTTGTTTTATTCAATCAGAGATCAGCAAAACAGCATCCACTGATCTGGATAGTCAATATAGTAAATCGAAATAGCAGAAGTCAGTACTAAACATCAGTGCTACACAGACAACAAGACACAACAGATTTTTCGTATTTCTTTTGAGTTTCTTCAATGAATGCCGCTCCTTTCGTCTCCGTAAGGTACGGGCATTTTGGATACCAACGAGCATGTTCTTCCCAAGGTACATCAGTTGCTTCCCAGTTGTGAATTCGGCCGCCGCAGTGAAAACAACGAACGCAATCACCATTTCCTTTGTAATAGAATCCAGCGTGTGCCATGTCTTGTGGATGTTGCTGCTTGCTTACAGGCCATTCGGCATAACTGGCAAAACGCGTCTTGTAATCTTGCATTTCTGGCGCAGCGAAAAGCAAATCATGCTGCGAACCGAAGTCATCCTCACCAGCAGCCATTGCCTGTGAATTAGGACAATCCGGACGCTCAAACAGATGCCGATAGAAAGGCTTATACCGAGAATTGGGCCAATCGCCCATAACATGGCCGCAATACACACAGTGAATTTCGTCGTACACGCCCTTGTAAAAGAATCCATCAAACGCCAGTCGTGCTATGGAATACTCAGTACATGGCCAGTTGACAAAGCTGTTGCAGCGGTTATCTACGTCTGACATATCCATTTTCAAGAAGTGTTTTACCGGTTATCTGCCATAGCCGTTCCTAGATGGATAGAGGAAGCAAATGCAGGCAGACATCTGTCATCTTGTTTAACTGGCCGCTTCCACGATCTGTATGATTGTGAATACAGACAACTTGATTTGGCGATCTTGTTGTCTGAACTCAACTGACGGAGTATACATGGAAGCTACAGGATTCAACTTGATCTCCAAATTTTTATTCAGTCTGTAGGTGTAATCAGATTCTTCTAGATCCGGAGTATACCATTCTGTTCGCACCATCCACTCTAAGAATTCCAAGTCACGCTTGGTCAAAGTTATTCCGGTTCGTTTAGCTTCCGAGTAACCGTGCTCATCCACCGATGGCACATCTTTTGCCAAAACCATTTTGCCTGCGGTATAATGCCAAAAAACAAATGTTTTGCCATTTCCAAAGCGATAAGTCCTGATCCCCTCATAACCGGGGTAGCTAATTTCTACCAAATTCGACTCCATATTAGCAGTAGTAGTTTTGCAATGTGTGTGTCTCCTTAATGCAAAGAAGGTTCCCAAAATAGCAATGATGTCAGCTTGTCCGTCAATTATTCTGACAAGCTAAGACCGTCACTAATTTGGGCAGCGCCCTTTTTTTTTTTTGTTTTTTTTTTTTTTTTTTTACAAAGTAACAATATCGGCTAATGTGGCACATAGTCCACGAAACTGAACAAGAGTTAGATCCAAAGGCACATTCCCAGCGCTACTGATGCGCACGCAGTCTGTCTGCGAACAGCGTGGTCTAAAGCGGATCCGAACAGATTTTTCTGTGGCATCCCTGATCCGATAACACTGAGTTTTTCGTGTGGTGATGGCACGATTCCACAGTCGAAGAAATGAGTCGTCTTCATGCATTTCTATCATGCGTGTAACAACGGTATCATCATACTCGCCGATGGTTCGTACAAGACTCTAACTGGATATGTGTGTAACCAGTGAAGCGATAATAAGATGCTGATCTAATGGTCTGAAACCGACACGTATACTGTCGCTTAACCAAAACCATAATACATCGTCAGCGCTGCAGCAAAACGGCAAAGAAGAATCGTCATTCCCATCAGACTCCATGATTACTGCTGAAGACAGAAAATGTTGTAAATGACTATTTTTTGCTAGTCTTCCTTGATATCGACGCGTACGCAAAAACAGCTATACATCTGACATTGAAAACTTATATGCTTTCTCCCATTAAGTTCTGACAGGCGTGCTTACCATTACTGATCAACCAGAGTCATTAGAGTTGCGCAAAGGATTCGAAACTCCAACACAGAAAGTTCCAAAGGTCCACCATCGGTTGGGCGTATAACGCAGATCTGTGCTTGCTCTTTCACCGCACGTCCATTCACTTTGATGAAAATTTCTTTGCGCACGCCATCCACGATCACGCGAACCACAGGCTGCCATTTAAGAATGACTTTCTCAACGCCTGGATCATTTCACCGCTTAACTCCATTCTGATGAATTTACGAGCCACACGAACGTCATATTCCTCCATGCTCTCTATACACTGCTCACACCCAGCACTAGTCTCATCATCTGCAGGACCGCCAGGACTGACACGCACAAGTATAAACGACTTGCTAGCTACACGCCATTCCATACGAAGAGTGTCGCTGAAGCGAAAATACTTTACGCCGTTCTCCTCTTTGCGAACAGACATGGCGTCTACAGGCATTCTCAGTGTTCTAGAATGGAAAAGGAACAGGCTGTTCAAAAAAAAAGACAGAATGCAGCCGTTGTAATGTACAAGGCAGTTTACAGTTTGACTTCTGACCTTCTTACCTTCGTGGATTTGCACAGTCTCATCAGCTTTACTTCTGCCACTTGTCTAAACAGTCAGTGGTCCGTAACCAGTTATTCTGTATATTTGTTTTCCACCCAGCATGCTAGTCACGTTATGGAAGATTTTGTTGAACATGGCCTCGGGAATCATGATGGGATCGCTGGGCAGCTGTGATGTCATCTTAATTTGAACGTACACTTCCAGTGTCCACAAAATGAGACACAATGTGGAAATAATACAGTAGAAGATGAAATCCTTTTTATCCATTATAGCTTGTTGATTTATTGGTATCCGTTAGCATCATAGTGTTCAGGAACGCTTCTGTCACGTCTTTTGACGCTTTAATATCAATTTCCGTAATGTTTCTGTTTCCCTTAATGGATTGATAGATTTGCAGGGAATAGAAACTGATGAGAAGGCCAAACATGACCACCCAGAACAAGGTGGCCACGACCTGCTTTTTGTTAATTTGCGATAAGTCCATTTATAAAGTTGCGGTCTTTTACTCGTGTTCGCATACTGAAAAACTTGTTGATGAACTTGCATACGAACACATCGTTCACTCCTTTATGCTTGGTTAGTGCTGACATGACATCCTTGTATGAGTATCCGTAGCAACGTAGCGTAACAAAGAACATGCAGTACTGACCGCAGACTGTGCTGTCTACACTTTGCCGCTCCGTGTTAGATACAATGAGAAAGTCGTCACCCATCCAATTCTTGATGTGCTGTGAGTATACGGCCGGATTTTTACCATAAGAATCGAAGGCTTCTAGTATGCCTGGTGATACACAGTAAAATGCCACCCAGTGCTCGCCGCGATTGCCGTCTACCTCTGTGTTGACAATGTAACCACCAGGAAATTCTTTGTCCGGTAGTGTGTTTGCAGAATACACTCCCACAAAAATATCTCGGATTTTTGGGTCCTTCTGTAATGCGGCTTGGATTCGCAGGTTGTTCATGGTGCAAAATCAAAGATAACCTGACGGTTGTTGTTAATTTCGATCACGTTATCGAACACCAACATGGCTACACACACCGCATTTTCTTCTAAACCTTTGGCGAATTTCATATGTATATTCAAATTCCCATGGCGGGACAGGGACATTGCCCCTCGTCCTGTGTGTCCACGCGTAAAATCAAATCCGTACAGGCAGAATCCACCCTTGTTGTACTGTTCACGGTCTATTGGCAATTCACCCGCTCCCTCGTTGAGACGTTCAAGTGTATCCAACAGACCTTCATAGCCTTGTATCG